GGTTCGTCCATATCCTGCGCATGTCATCTTCTGTCATCAACTGACAAAAGAAGGAAGGGACATGATGCTTTCCCTCTCCAGCACGGGTATCGCCTGCAGCGCAATCTCTGGCCTCATCCTCGCATAGTTGACTAGAAACAAGAAAGCACATCTTCTTGATCTCGAGGCTCTGAATGTGCATGCATCCAATAATATCGGGGAAACAGCGCCACCATGTCGTTGTTGCTCATGGTCATGTTGGCCACAATCTTCTTGAGGGCGATCTTCTTGCCCGCATTGTTCTTGTCCTTCTTTCCTCCGCTATTTAGCTCGAGTCGCAACTCGGCGACTTTGCCCTTTGCAGTTGTTAGCCTGGGCAACGCCGGCGGCGGCATGTACGCCATAAACATGATGGAGGCGGGATGCGACGTCGACAGCATGGGGGTATCTTGGAGGAGGGAGAGGAAGAAGCGAGAACCAGAACCAAGGGGTATCGTGATGCGCAAAATTCAGTCGATCGGTCGGTCGGTGGTGGGTTGGTATGCTGGACAACAAGACGAGGTGACAGCCCGATGCCCACCGAGGCCTGTGATGTCTACGACATGGCGACCGCCGATGGCGATCAAAGGGGGGCACAGCAGTGACGGGGCAGGAAGGATGCTGGCTATATGCAGGGGAGAAGGAGGGACGAAGCACTTACCCTCGCGAACAGCTTGGAGTCACCTCCGGCCTGTGAGCTCGACATGGTGGGTGGTCGACACACACGTCGAAGGGGAAGGGGGGGAGGGGGGTGGTGGACACAGCCCAAGACTTTCAGCTAAGCCCAGAAGCCTGTCTGGGTATCTGGTACGTCTGCCTCGGTTCCGAGAGACAGGTGAGTTGCGCGCGCGCAGACGCACACGCAGACGATCAAGGCTTGGGGTGGGCGATAGAGCGGCACACCAACCCAAGACAAGGCAACCCCTCACGTCGAGCTGGGAGGGGGACCAGGGCACCTGAGGGTAGAGCTTTCGACCAGTCTCCCTAATTGGAGGGTTCGTAGGTGCTGCGGCCGGCGGGAGGCGGCAGCCAGGCCAAGGTAGGTATTTGTTCGTTTGGGTTTCTTGTTTTTTATGGCTATGGCGGGGGTCGATAGGTAATATGTCACATGGGTCGCCCAAAAAGTCGAAAGTCTGCAGCACTGCACAAGCCAAGGGGGGTCGGATGTGCTCTGTGTCTGTCTATCTGTCTGTTGGCTCTAGAGGAGGGTGGGTACTGTCCAATGGATTCGCGATGGCTCGTAGGGATTGAGGTGAGCTGAGGATTGTCGTCGAGCTTGTTCCGACGTCTATGAATCGTGAGAAGCCCCGGTCGCAAAGGGATATGGTCGGATGTTGTTGGAGCTGTCGCGAGCAGACGCAGCACTGTCGGACAGGAATAGGGGAGAATTCCAATCCATGGCCCTTCCCCCGTCCAATGTCGAGTCCCCTGAGCCTGAGCCTGGACCTCGTGTCAAGCTCCAGCGTTCCCGGTGCTGCCGGTGGGGTTCGACGTCTTATCGTCGTGTTCGATAAGCTAAGCGAAAGCACTGGCACCCGCCCTCTGTTCAGTTCCGAGCTCAGTGGGAGGTGGAGGTGGGGCGCGCTGACTGATGCGGATGCGCGCAAGGCCAGCTTCGACGTTGCCCGTTGCCTCGAGCCTGTGCATCGCAAGCTTGTTTCCACCCTCATTAATTCAGCTCAGCCTTGTCAGCCAGCGTCTTTCCTGCTTCGAGCACCAGCTATCCCCAGTCAAACCAACAATCCGACGCCATGTCTCTCGTCAAAGGCGACACCCCTCGCTGGGTCTCTCAGCTGCACTCGCCCCCTGCCTCCAAGCAGAAGGTCAACGGCATTTCCGACCCGAACGGCTACCCTTCATCCCAGTCCTCCGGCTCCAAGGTTCGTACCTCACCTCCTCATTCCGTCTTTCGCCTCATTCAGTGGCCCCTCTGACAGCTCCCACAGAAGCAGAAAGATGTCAAGCACACACCGCGCAAGCAGCCGACCCCCGCCGAGATGGACACGCTCAAGGTCAAAAAGGCCTGGGAGGTCGCCCTCGCCCCCGCCAAGAACCTGCCCATGACCGCCATCATGATGTACATGTCCGGCAACTCCCTCCAGATCTTCAGCATCATGATGGTCCTCATGGCCTTCAAGACGCCCATCACCGGCCTCTTCGCCGTTAACTCGGCCTTTGAGCGCTTCGAGTCCGACACGAACAAGGGCCAGATGTTCCAGGTCAAGATGGCCTATCTCGCCATGCAGGTGCTGGCGCTCGCCGTCGGCGTGTGGAAAGTCAACGCGATGGGGCTGCTGCCGACAACGCGGTCAGACTGGTTGGGCTGGGAGACTGTGAGGGCGCCGCTGGAGAATGCGATTGCTGCTTTGTAGAGCGGAACACGTTACAATCAAACAATTATTTCTTCTCCATCTATGTGGTCCATGCTACTCCGTCGCGGGTACTATTCATACTGCAGGCCAAGCAGGCCATAATCGCTTTCCGCGGGGGTCTTGGGCAGTGGCTTCGGAGCAGCATCGCCGTTCAGCACTGCCGTGAAAGCCAGACCTAAATTCATCTGAGCATATATCCTACCTGCGCAAGGTGTTCCGTTTGTGCACAATGGCGTAACTTGTCCAGGCGACCTATTTCTCACTATCGCATGACGTGACATCTCACTGTCCATAATTCCCTACAGTTTTCCGCAAACATGTCACAAGTATATGGCGAATATCTGGTTTGTGGTCCCAAACTTGACAATACTTGGATGTTCAAGTACGCGCAATAACTACAGCCTTCATTCAATATATGACAACATGATGACGGCAAAGCTGGGTGAGGCAGTGTACCATGACGCAGGGACGAAATTTCACGCGAGAATGCAATTCATAAGGAATAAGCATAGAATCTTTTCGATATTTGCGAGGTGCCAGAACGAATTTGGAGGCGCCTGCCGACTCCATAGAGTACGCTTGACTTGGAGTGCTACGAGCCTTCTGACATGCACATTCAACAGCACGGAACGATTCAATCATGCCCTTCAGGCAATGTACTCGACAGAAAACACAAAGCATGCAATTCATATAGCTGACCGTCCAAAGTTCAGTCCAATCCCACAGCAACCCATCGCAAATCGTAAACCACCTCAAACCCTCCTCCCCGCATCCTCCACCTCCCCTGCGCCCACCACCTTCTCATCCTCCAGCGGCCTCTGCGCCCCAGGCACATCCTCATGCACAACCTTCTCGACAGCCATGTTTGCGTTCTCCGCAAAATGCTTGTCCTCGAACACTGGTCTCGGAAATTAGCAAACCACGCCCCCCAGCACAGCCAAAGGCAGGTCGACTCACAGAAAGCCAGCTCCTCGAGCGTTCGGCCCGCCGTCTCGGGGAACATGAACCACACAAAGCCCACCTCAAAGGCGAGCCAGCAGCAGTAGAAGATGAGATACTTCCAGCCGGCATTGTCCATGCCGATGGGGTTGACAAAGGTCGTGAAGAAGCCGGCCAGGCGGCCGAAAGAGCTGGAAGAAAGGCGATGCCCGCGCGAAGCGCAGCGCGTAGGGCCACAGCTCGACGAGGTAGGTGTAGGTCAGGGCGTTGTAGCCAATGTTGTAGGCGGGCGAGTAGGCGAAGATCCAGAAGAGGGTCGCCGTCGAGGCGGCGTTGTTGGTGTAGTTGTTCTCGTTGGCGTGCATCGCGCGCTCCATGGAGACGGTCCAGGCGATGTAGACTGTGCTGCGTCAGATGTTTGCTTCATGGGTATGGGGTGGGATAAATAGGAGGACTGCACGTACCGCAGAGGAGAGAGAGGACGCAGGTCATGTACATGACGCGACGCCGGAAGCGACGGACGAGCAGGGCCACAGTGGTGCCGCAGATGAGACTCCAGCCTGCAATGCCGAGGTTGACTTTCTGCATGTCTTGCGTGTTCGTCCAGCCAATCTTCTCGAGGATGGTGCCGAGATAGTAGGAGATGAGCGTGTTGCCCGACCATTGAGTGAAGCTGGGGGTGCTGTGTTAGCACAGATGGTATGAGAAAGGTGCGGCGCTCGAATGGGTGACTTACAGGCCGAGGAACATGGTCACGAGAGCTCGACGCCTGTTGCCGGCAGTGGCCAGGATATCCATCCAGCTCATCTTGGCAGCGTCCATCTCGATACGAATAGTTGTCTGGATCTGTGCCATTTCTGCCTTGACAAACTCCGAGTCGCGGTCGCCCTCGGCGTGGTACGTGATGAACACCTCTCTGGCCTCTTCAATGCGGTCATTGACGATCAGCCAGCGGGACTCTCGGGGAGGAAGCTGCCGAATCGATATCAGTGATCTTGTCTTGAAAAATACTGCAGAGGGGCTCTCACAAAACAAAAGGTGATCTGCAAGAGAGACGGGGCAGATTTGCAGCCCACGAAGGGGATCCCTCCAGGGCATAGTCATTGCTGATGGTGTTTGTGCCAAAGGGTAATACCAGCAGCCCATTATCTAGTAACGATTAGGGAAATTTTTCCATCACTGATCCATACTTGACTTACCTGGCCAACAAAAGTAAGCAACGTTGAACAGCGACGTCAGAACCGGTCGTTCCTTGGGATAGCTGAGCTCGCCAATGAGCGACGAGCCGGACACGATACAAGTTGGGATACCAAATCCGAGGATGAGGCGGGCGACAATGTACATGCCAACTTTTGGCAGTCAGCGCAATGCTTCTGCTGCTCAGGACACGAGATGAGAATAGCCTACCATGCGTCGAGAAACCCTGCAGCAGAGCACCCACGATCATGATGGTGCTGCCACCAAAGATGGACCATCGGCGGCCCCACCTATCGTTAACATACGGGATGAAGGGCAGAGAGAGGATCGCGCCGAGGGAGTACGCAGCAGCGATTATGCCCTGCAGAGCCCCGCTGGGATAGTCGAAGTCTAGTCGGCGGACGGATTAGACACGAAGACCGTTCATAGCTCGACCCGTCGGTCCGTGTACGTACAGTCTTTCCATGCGCTGACCATCTGGAGAGCATTGATCATTTGAGAGTCGAAGCCGGACGTCAGCTCGATACCCATACACGTTGGGAAAAGCATGAGGTAGAGGTATCGCAGGTTTGGCTTCTTGTACCAGGCGACCTTGTCTTCCTCGGAGATGCGGGTGATGATGGGGTCGGCAGCACCCGTCTCGGCCTTGCGACCGCTACTGTGGACGACCATGGTGGCGATTCTGGCAGAGGGGTGCGCAGATGAGGCGACGTTCTGACGATAGATAACCAGTTGAGAATTTTAGCTATGGAACAGTGGATTGGGATGAGAGCCCTTAGGTTGAAGACAGCTCCTCGGAAACGGCGATCATCAGAGGCAGGAAGCCCGGGCACTCTCGCCTTATATGCATTCCCAGACCACGCCTGACCCCATGTCTATCAATTGCCCTTTCCTTCACCCCATGGGCAATATCGCGAGCCGGGCGGACGTGTCGCATGGAAAGCGACGCTGAGGCTTGGCAGCATCTTGGTTGAAGGCCCGATTTCAAGGCTTGGTTGGACGACGGTGCGAGCGGTGGAGAGACCCCATAATGGTTGCGCCAAGAGCTAGATGGCATATTATCCACGGTTTGGGCAGCCAGCGATGGCGATCCCAGGACGTTGTGACGATCAAAGTGGGACGGCTCCAGGTCTGTAGCCGTCGGGACGGGGATATGGAGACGCGGGGGGGCGTAGATGCGGAGGTTCGCGTGGACAAGGGGGTACGTCTCCCCCGCATATCGGTTCTTAATGGCACCTCGTTCCCCAGGATTGAGTCAGTGGCATATGGAGTACACTGTTGCTCTACCTTGAACATCGAATTATTCCCCGACCTACAAGACTGCCTAGGGTGACAGGAGCGGCCTCCTAGCAGGCCGAGGGCCATCCTATTCAGCCGGTGCCGGTGGTCGGTCGCTCGGGGAAGCCAGCAGCGAGGGCAAACGATCGCCAATTCGAGTCGAGTCAAGCACTTGACTTGATGCCCGGCTGAGTGGCCGGTTCCTTGGCTGGGTGTCTCTGTGTTTGACCAGCACCGCCAGTCAGGGAACGCGTAGTCATGCCATGGACTTGGGAAGCGGGCAGTGCCGAGATTGTCGGTTGCCCATCTGATGCAGTGTTGCAACGCAGCCATGAGGCACGGAATTCTTAAATGCATGTCAGACGAGAAATAGCAGGGTCTTGCCCAGGGTCGGAGCGATCGATGGCAGTCATTCAGGATCTACATAACCCGAGACATATCTGGGAAAACAATTGGTTGGCAGAACAGGCTGCGGGAGAAGTTTATCTGGTGGCAGTGGGACTTGCAAAGTCGCATTTGATGTCTGCGCCAAGTTACTCAGTCTCGGGTTGTCCGCACCACCAAAGATACATTATAAAGGCAATACTGAACAAGAAAAGAAAATATGAGAGGGAAAAGGCGATGCCAGAAATCACGTCCCTCACGATATCCAAGGCACCTTAGCCTGGGTACTGGATGCCATACTTCCTCATAAGCCAAACCCCTGAGCCCCTCGCCATGCCGGACTTTGCTAGTCGCGTCTAACCCGGCATACGTGCGACATACGAGTATCGATAGTGAGCCAAGATCACAATGGGCTGGTTCACAATGCAGTCATTACCAAATGGCCAGTGCAAAGGAAGTCATCGAAAGGACAAAGTCATGAGAGAGACAGACACGAGGCTGGGCCCAAGGTGGTGGCCAGGGTTGCCAACCCCCGCAACTCTTAACTCACAACTGTGCCAATCAGCGCCCGACTTGTCAGCGTTATCCGATACTGGCGTACAGTGTTCCCGATGAGTTCACACCTGCCCGGCCCGTTGGCCCCTGGTGCAGGAGTGTGAATTCAGCTCGTTGGCACAGTCTGCGTTCCTGTCACTGACATAGGTGGGATGACATGGCTTTCCCAACAACACATCACGAGGCCTCCAAGTGCAGCTCTCATGCAGCTTATAAAGCTTCAGAACCATGAATTCGACAATGATTTACTCGTCTTGCATCATAACTTTCCAAGGTATCTAGCTACACGCCCCACCATCACCAGAGCATCATGCCTAGAGCAGCAGCCAAGACGCCAAAGCCAGGCTGCACAGGACCAGCTCCAGCCGCAGGAGAAGCAGCTGTCGTCGCGGCGTCGCTCGCAACCGAAGCGCCCGCTCCAGAAGACGTCGGGCTTGTTGTCAGGGGCGCGGCGGTGGTGAGGGCAGCACTCTCGTCAGCCGACGAGGAGGCACCGGTGGTGGTAGTCACCGCAGCCGTCGCCGAGGAACCATTGCCGGTGATGGCAGCGGCGGACGACTCACCGGCCTTGGCCGAGCTCGGCTCAGCGGTGGGCGTGGCGGCGGCCTTGGTTGATGTCGTCGAGGTCCATGGGATTCCACAGACGCCCTGCACATCAAACTCCTCTGGAATGGGGATCCCAAAGGCGTCGCAGTTCATTCCGTGGCGCCAGATGGCCTCTGCAAATCTCTCGTCAGAATGGTTCTTCCATCCACAAGAAGCTCACGCGAAGCCGAGACGCACCAGGCAGCACATTTGAGTCGCAATTCTTGGCCAAGCAGCACCAGAGTGCATTGCGCTTGGCGTTCTGGTTGCATACGCAAGCAGGGTCATCGGCGCAGGAGCCCGACATGCTCCTGAAGTAGCAGTTATTCTGCATATGCATCAGTAATTCACGTCGTTGTCAGCGTTCAATTTGGCTGGAAAAACTGACGTCGCATGTGGCATCCTTATTTTGCTTCTCCAGGTCGTAGCGAGAAAAATACTGCGCTGAGGTTGAGGCCGAAGCCACGGCGATGACGCCGAGCACAAGGTTGGTGATACGAACCATGGTGAGGGCAAACAATAGCAATAACGAGCGACTGAATATGAATGGAAATCGACGACGCTGTGTGTTGGTAAAGGAACAAACACCGAGAAATTCATTCATCCGCCTCAGCGATCTGGGGTTTCCTCATCAAATATCCGCCTCCATCAACCTAATGCAAGGGGACCCGTCACGATGGCACTAATAAGGCCCCGGAGAAGACCAGATTGGGTAGTTAGATCTCCGGGTGCCGCATAACCGCCCGAAGGATTCGAGCGAGATTATGAGACCAGTGTCCAGACAATGGATCCACCTCGCCCCTGGATCTTCTCGAAAAAAACAATAATAATCCACATCTAAATCATTCAGCCTTATATCCTACTCTTGTTGCTCAGCAAACTTGCGGGAACCTCCACAACCTTGTCCCTGAAATAATCGATGAACCCCTTGCCGAAGCCATCCAACCGATGGGAGCTGCTCACACCCCTGCCAAGAATGCCGTACACCACAAAGTGCACGGCGAAGATGCCAGGAAACTCGACCCTCTCCACGGCAAAGTCGGCTCTGAGCTCATCGCCAAGAAGCGTCTTCACCCTGTCGATGGACATATAGGTGCGCAACCACTCCCATTCATCGTGCCGATGTACAAAGAGGCCAAAGTTCAGGTTGGATCCTTTGTCACCCGACCGGCCGAGTGCCACGTCTCCAAGGCGAACCTTGCGCAGATCTCCTCGCAAGGCCGAGATCGAAGGCGAGGGCGTATCATAGGAGTCACGATCCTCGAGCAGCTCGTACTTGGGAGGTCTTGCCACATTGAGCTCGGCCTCGACATCACCGTTGACCTTCATAAAACACACCCGCTCTTCGAGATCGGCCTGGCGCCACAGGGACGGCCAGTACGCCACGTACGGGCGCGGCACTGCGGTGCGGAAATCCAGAGAACTGTGGAAGCCTAGACGATGATGTCGTCAGATATCACCCTTGTCGTTGATTCTACACGCAAGCGGGAAAACCTACCAGAGAAGTGCCTCAGCGATATGTCCTTGAAAGCTTGACCGACCTGCGCCAGCGTTCGAAGACCTGTCGCTTGCGCGAAAATTCGGAAGTAAACCGTGCTGCTGTTTTGATCTCGAGGGTCGGATGCTGGCGTTCCGATGCTGCGCTGATCATGAGCATCTATTTCGGCACGAAGTTCCAGACGAATCTAGCCTACCGTTGGAAGTGAAGTGCATCAAACCCTGCCTGTCCCTCGTTGCCTATCCTGCTCCTGATTTGCTTTTCGAACAACTTGAACTTCTCGTCAACAGCATAGCCGGTGGCATTTACCAGGAACTGCATTTCGTATCCTCCTTTGTAGAAAATCGCCAATTTTGTAGTGTCGGGAGGAGGGGCACCTCGGATGCCCGAAACATGAACCCTAGATAATGTCAGACCAGGTTTACAGGATGAGCTGTTGCGGTCAGTACCTATCAGCTCCAACTTGCTCCATGACTACCTGGTCAAGGTAGGCCTTCACGTCGCTGTTGAGATACACATTTCCCTGGAGCTCATAAAGAAGTTGACTCCTGCACGTGTCGACATTGACCATGCCACCGGTGCCAGCATGCTTCGTGATCACGCAACTGCCATCGTGTGCAACCTCGGCGATGGGAAACCCGGGCTCTATGAAGGCAGCGAGGTTGTACGCTTCGAAGCCAGCAAAGTTCCCACCGGTCACGTATGCCGAGCACTCGATCATGTGGCCGGCGATCAGAGCCCCGGCAAGTTGGTCATAGTCGGTGTTGGTCCAAGACCACCAATACCACGCGCACGCAATGACTGGACTTGCGTCCGAGACCCGGCCGCATATGATGATGTCGGCTCCATTTTGGAGAGCTTCGTATATAGCATGCGCACCGAGATAAGCATTTGCTGACACAATCTTACGGGGCTCTCGATCATTCTTCGAGAATTGCATTGCTTCAGGGAGAAGATTGACATGCGGATTCGCCGCATCGAGGTGAGGGAGAGAGTCGCCAGGCCCCTGCGGCATTGTATCACGCCCAAGCTGAGGTAGGATGTCATCTCCAGCGACGTAGGCTACACGCATGCCGTAGCCTTTACTGTTGATCTGTAATGCATTCTTAGTCATCTGTAGTTCAGCGATGCCGCAGAAAGTCATCTTACCAGCTCAGCTACTTTCCTGGCAAGCCCTTGAGGGTTCAGGGCGCCGCCATTGATGGCCACCTTGATCTTCTTCTCTGCAATCACATCAATCGCTTGTCGGATGCCTTCCCAGGCAGTTTCCTCGTAGCCTGGGTGTTTGCCCTGAGCATAGGCTTCGGCATTATTTGCGATATTGACCTCTAGAACGCTCTCAATCCATGATCTCAATATGCGTCGAGTTAGGTGTTATTACCAGCAAGGTAGTCGCCTGTGATGAAATCGACGTCACCAAGTTTAGCCTGGTTGTACATCTCAGATGGCGGGTCCCGTATGGTTGAATGAGTAGCAAATACCGAATGAGAAGTCTGGGGAATGTATGCTGGTACCATGGTATCCCGAACAGTTCGCGATGCGAACCCGGTCTCACCCCAAAGTCGCCTTCTCGCCATTTTGGATTTGTTGTCATGATGACCACGTATAATCCGAGTTCAAATAAACCTGTGGCAGGGGCTCAAAGAATGAAACAGATACATTGCCCGCCCTTATAGCCAGCCATCTCTGGAATACCCCTCATGACATTGACTGCCGGGTGCACCGGCATTTGGGATCGCCGAGGCTATTGATACAACAGGTGAGAGCCGGAGTTTCGCGTCATCAGTGTTGGGAGAATTGGGGAAGGTCTCAAGCCATGATGGTGGCGAAGCCACCACACTGTCGGAGTTTCGCGCTCTCATGTGTTGATCTTCGGAGTGTTGCGCAGAACTCCGGCCGGCAAGCCGGGCACGTAAAACTCCGCTTGCCCCAAAGATCACCGTCTATAGATTAGCTGCGAGCACGCGCAGACCCGACCCCTTCTTGAATGTTTTCTGTAATTATTCGTCAACCTTGGTCTCAGTCATCTTAAATTCCCAATATGAACGATTGCTCCGTTACTGAAGAGGCAGCTCGGATTCTGCATGAGGTGCTCCTCAATGACGTTCGTTTGGGTCTATCCGCATCCTTCAGAGAGGCAGCCAAGAAAGTGAATTTCACGAGTGCGGATCCGAGACCATTTGTCTTGACGCCTGTCAAGTTCACCGAGTCATCTTCCGCGCTGACGGCACTAGCTGCAACAGCCGCCAATGTCATCGCATCAGAGCGCTATCACATCGACTACCAGGGTGTCGAAGTCAACACCGACCTCGCAACACTATTCCTGGGCTCAGTCCTCCTACCAATGGTTGGCGGCAAGTCCTTCATGCAACATGAACAGCTTGGAAAGGAGTTGGCTGCCATGGACATCCACGACAGCTCAGCGCAAATCCATCGGTATGCGACAAATGTCTACAAGACTAAGGATGGTAGATGGTATCATCTCCACGGATCCATGAATGCCAAACCAACGATGACCATGCTCGGTATCGAGGAATCCGACGTCACAGCGGATGAGGCATTCAGGATTTACTCCGAAAAGGTCGCGCAATGGGATTCTCGAGAGATTGAGCAGGTGGCGAACGACCAGTATCGACAAGCTGGCGTTGTCTGCCTCACTCCAGAAGAGTTCCATGCCAGCGAGCAAGGCAGAGCCATGGCCGAAAAGCCGCTCTGGTCAGTAACACCGATCCCCGCACCTCGCAAGGCGTGGCCTCGTCACGAAGGCAACGAAGACCTCAAACCGCTTGCCGGGATCAAAGTCTTGGACTTGTCCCGAGTCATAGCTGCGCCAGCGGTCTCGAAAATTCTGGCTGTTCTCGGCGCCGAGGTTCTACGTGTGTCCTGCGACACGTTGCCGGAGTACGCAGCTACCATGGTCGATTTGCAAACCGGCAAGAGGGACACAAACCTGAATCTGAAGACGGATGACGGCAGAGCCAAGCTCAGGGAACTGGTCAAGGATGCAGACTTACTTGTCGATGGATTTCGGCCAACGGCACTAGCGAAAATCGGTTTCAGCACCGAGGTGCTGAGGGCGCTGAACCCGAGCTTGATCTATATGCGGGAGAATTGCTACGGATTTGACGGCCCCCTGGCCGGGCGGTCAGGGTGGCAGCAGATCAGTGACTGCCTGGTAGGCCTCGCACATGTGCAAGGAAAGTTCCTCGGGCTGGATGAACCGGTTGTCCCGCTCCTACGTAAGCTGCAAACTCCTTGTAAAAGGTCTTTTCATGTTTCTAACTTCACGACAGCGAACTCTGATTATCAGACTGGGCTCGTTGGTGCTGTTGCTGCAATGCAAGCACTGCATGCCAGAACACTTGAAGACAGGACCTTTGACATTGACATCAGCCTGACCCAGTATAACATCTGGCTTACTCGTCTCGGGCTCTATTCTGTACAACAACAGCAGGAGCTAAGGGCGCGGGATCCCTCCTTTAGTCCCCGTCATTTCGATGACATGGCCATTTTAGTGCAAAAGACATTTGGGTCATTCAAGAAAGTGCGTCCTGACCTGTTCACTCGGCCAGACTTCTTTTGGCCCATGAGCGGGGATGAGTATGGCTTGAAGGAAAACATTCATGTGTTGGCACCTGCGTTCAAGTTTTCGTCGTCCAAGCTGGAATGGTCGATTCCGTCCGGTAGGCGGGGACGTTCTACGC